AAAAATACCTTGCTGCAATTTATTTGTTCCGCGATCTATTTATCCTATCTACAAATTTACCTCACGTCCTTACCCTATCTTGAGGCGTTGTACGCCGAAAGGGATTAACAACCCCTTTAACACGTTGGGTTGCGAGGTACTGTTATTTGTGTGCAGGGGTTGTTTACGCTTTGTTGCTTGGTTCTCCTACTAGTTCGATAACCTTGGTTTCATATCTGAGGAAAATACCTATCACCGCTACGCTGCATCATCGCTTCCTCTTTGAAAAAATACTGACGTATCTTCAAGCGACATCATTAACCGAAGGAAAAATCGAGCATGGATCAGAAACTATTGAACGAGCTCCTCTAGGAGCGCACGTCGCAAAAAAGAAAGTACTTCCAGGCTGGCTAGCGCGCGAGACAAGGGCGTCACTTCCTTGGGCTGAGTTAACCACGTGCATGCAAGCAAGACCTATACCTTTTTGTGGCCTTTCAGGGAAGTGTGCGGCCAATGTAGCCTGCGTGCAGCCCTAAAGAAAATGTAGCCTGTGTGCAGCCGTGCATATATGTCTGCATGCTTGTTTAGTCCCATCTCGCATGGCTAGACAGAATGTGACAGAGAGCTCGGCTATATGAGGAGCCTAGGCGGGAAGGATTGCTAGGCACACACGCGCGCGAACTAGCTTTTCGGCGTGCTCAGTATAAACAGAATACCAAACCGAATTAGCAGTTAACCAAAATTTCGGTTTTTGGAAATTTTATGCCATTTTTGGTTTGTATTTTTCTTAACCAAAATTCAATAAATACCAAATTTTAATAACCAAAAATTCGGAATGCCCAGGCCTAGTATTAAGCAACATGGGACAGTGGTCATAAGTCTCTTTTACCAGTTTTCGAACAAAAGTAAATGGAACACAACTTCCCAGGAGCTAGACATTAAGACTATGTCTAATTTCTCTAGGGTAGGATTTCGCTGCTTATCTGACCAGGTATATAGACCACCACTCATATCTACTTCTCTAAAGGAATGTGTTGATAATAGAATTAAGATATCATAGGAATGTCTGAGACTAGTTTTCTTGTTTTTTCTCACTAGCATGGCTCAAGATACTAAAATCACCTCACACAATGTAAAGACAACCAATATTATTACGGAAATCAGCTAATCCAATTAGGAATTCTTATTTAAATTCCTCATCGGCAGAGCCATAGACCACCGAGATGATGTATCTTATTTTTTTAACTCTTATCTCATAGCAGAAATTTCATAATGCACTTACCAGACTGACAGAAAACAATATATAGAGAGTCTTTTTTCATACCACACAGGATCCACTAAATTTGCCTAAGGAATTCGCTTCAAGCAAAAAAGTATCTCCAGTCTCAAATTTCCTCAAAAATTTCAACATTTTTTTTCATAGTTTCCTGAATCCCTAGAAAATGCAAACGATGGTCCTTTATTAAATCAAATAGATAGGTTACCATACCTCTCTTCCCAAATCCTCTACGGTTCCAAAAGAGACTAATCATTATTGTTTATTCTTTTTAGGGGTGTGAGTTCTCAAATTAATAGCATTGCATGCAATGAACTAACCACTGCATGTCGTGTTTGGTAGTCTCAAGTCATTAAAAGCATGCACACCCCACATCTCTTATTGGTTGATATGTCAAGAAACAAGAAACGATGTAGAATTTAATGCACCGCGTCTAAGTGTTTTGGGATTATTTGGTTTTCGTAAGATGACTTACACACCTAGACGGAGGGAGTACTAGGTGTCACTAGGGGCACGGTACGTAGCACCTGCATTGGAACCCACATTATTGTTCTAACTTCTAGTAGTAGGTTCAGTAATCAGAACATTCACTTTGTTCTCCCCCCTAGATTTAACAACAGTAAAATTATCCTCATCAACTTCATTATCATTCATCCAATTAGTATTAAGGGGGGATTTGTTTCTAGCTCCATCGGTAATACAAAGGTGCTAGCCTTTTGTTTTGCATTACCATCACATTTTTTCTGGAATATTAGTTCTAGATTTTTCTAATTCCCTCACAACATCAATCACGGGAAAAATATTATCACGAATAACAACACCCATCCTAGCAGCTTTACTCATAATTTCCATATTGGGAAGAACATCAGAAGTACTTGGGGAAGATATGTCATCATCACCTTGCAGATTTCTCTTCCTTATAATATTAATTGCCTTAGCTTTCTGTTCTCTATATTAGCTCCAGCAGTCCTCTGGCTTAATCTTACTTGCACCTCCTCTATCACAGGGAGAGTAGGGATGATTTCCACCCACTCTCCAATAGTTTCAGACTGGTCGACATATGCAGAGGGGTTTTTCTGACAAGACAAATCCCAGGGTTCAAGCTCAGTAACCACATTTTTCCGAGGACAACAACCAAATAGGAAGAATATTGCAGAGTAGCAAGAGAATTAACAACCACCTGCACAATATTCACCCTAGTATTTTCATATGCAACAACAACATGAGACTAAACATCCACATCATCCTCACACGAACCCATATTTCCCTTAGTTGTAGTGTGATTCAGGAGATCATTGTCTATTTCTTCTCTTTCCTCTTCAGAGTTATCACTCTCCACATGCTCTTTTTCAACGTCCCCATTTGTCCACATGAGCGCGTCTTTTTTCCTGTTAGGAGGGTGGAGCCACAATGTCCTTCTCATGCCCAAACTGTCGACTTTTCTGGATAATAATTTACTGTCAAAGATAAAGACTTACCCTTATGGCCTAGGTACTTCCTAATTTTTAGTGGAGGTATTCCTATGTAGTTAAGTTGGACTACCAGTTAATTTTAACCACTAGATTGGAATGAACAGATTGTCCATAATGAATCCAGGTACCGTAAATAACTCAAAATTGAAAGCAGTGGAGTAAATGGAGAAAAATATCTTTTAGGGATAAGTACAAACATCTCTTCTCCTTCTTCCCGTATTCTTTCCTATTTTAAAAATCCAAAATGTTTAGCTCAAACTGTAGGTCAGATTCTAATCTGGCTTCACCATTAAACCCGTCGCGATGATACATTCAAAAGTAGATACCGTATTAGTATGTTTCGATGATTTTTTACTTTTGGATCCAAAGTTACCATGCCCGAGCTACGCCAGTTATCACCCCTACATTATGTAAGCTATTTGGTGTTTACAGTGAAGTTACCACAGACATACAAAATGGTTCCCCCCAACCTTCTCCTTACATGCAGCATGCACATGAGGAAAAAGGACCAATATCATCTAAATTCTTCTCATTTCAGAAATTTTAAAAAAAAGTTGTAGCTCAAACGTCGTTTCGATTCAGAATCCATTTTCACGATAAAATCTATCGCAAGGAGACCGTTCAGACTAAATCCCATATTGGTACGTGGACCTTTTTGCGGGTCAAAAGTTACCAAGCCCGATGGTAAGTATATTACCATCTCTGCGGTACATAAGTTACCACACGTTTTATGCAGAAATTATCAGAGTATGTTTCAACAACATTTTTTTAATCAAATTATCATGATGTTGTACATAAATGGTTAGATGTTCTGTGGTGCGTAAATTAACATGCTATTTATAAAAAAGATTTTTGGTATATATTTCAAAAAAAAAAAACCTCGGGTCAAAGACACCAGGCCCATGTACCCAATTTACCAGCCCTACGATGCGTAAATTACCATGTTATTTACACAAAAGTTACTGTGGTACGTTTCCATAATTATTTTTCCCAGCAAAGTTAGCATACCGAGGGTACTTAAGTAACTCGGTTGCGAGTTCAAATCACACCTTTAACAAAAAAAAAATCATAAATGAACCTATGGTTGGATGGTTAGGAGGACAATGATATCCACAGCCCACCAGAGTTTAAGTCCTAGGCTTGACGTTGATACTCACATTTTTTTGGATTTATTTTAGGTCTTCTGGCGATGTGCGTTCATTGGGTGTTTACTCTTACTTGACATAAAACAATTAGGGACGAGTTGGTTATCGGGGCAATGTGGATATTTTTACAACCAGGATTCAAATCCCCACCCTTACATTCTTTTTCCTAAAAAAGGGGATGAAAAAACCTATAAACCATAGTTAAGGTGGTGATGGAGCAGAAACAAGCAGGGATGAGAGCCAGGAAAACTGATAGAAAGAAAACCGGGAGGGAGGACTCGACGGGAGAGAAACAAGTAGGGATGAGAGAAAACCGAAAGAGAGAGCAAGCGGGATCATGCGGCCAGTGCACGAGGGAAGAGGATCAGGTGGTGCTAGAGGCGTTTGACCATAAAGCTAAAAGAGTAACGTTCGCCAAATAAGTTCTGTGAAAATTAAATTATACTACTATTCCTGCTCTAGTTGATAAAACCGCGCACTCTATTGCAAGGGACTTCAGATAACAGACGTGGTTTCAGTTAGTAATTTGTAGTATCTCTACATTCACAACCTCAGAGGAGCTGCAGATTTTGACAATTATATTGCTACATCACACATGAACAGAACTTCCTCTCTAATCATGGTCTAATAATTGTAGAGAAAAAGAGTAATTTGCTTCCCACTGCATATTATGAGTATTTGGGGTGCATCCACCAACACCTACTGCGATAAAATCCATGTTCCTAACTTCCTATATTGTGATTTATGCCCCTAAAGCCATAATTTATGCGGGACATCAGATCTTCCTAGCTTCACTTCAGGTGTTGCATTGTCACGTCTGATTCATTGGTTGCATCTGTTTGTTTCAGAATTTAGAGTCTGATTGTTCTATTTATTCTTCAGGAAAGCTATACTATTGGAACACAGAACCACTCCTCTACGGCTCTACTCGTGCATGCAGTATTGGAACGGGTGATGTACTAACTCCAGCTCCTGATCTAACCACTCGAGACTCGACATCTCCTACTCCATCACCACCTCAACTACATAAGCACACGCACGCTTCATCATGCTACACCATCCACAACCACAGCCACAGAGCAGCAAGCACACAAGCAAGAAACACGATCGAGAAGCTGCCAGCCAGCCATGGAGGTCATGTCATCCATAGCCGTGCTCCTACTCCTCTCCTGCTCGCTCACGGCGGCGACGGCGCCGGCCGGCACGATTGAGCGCGTGTCCAAGCAGCAGATCCTGGCGAGCATCCCACCAGGAGGGCACGCCAGCCCGCCCGTGCTGTTCCTCACGTCTCCCTCTGGCAAGTACGCGGCCTACTTCGTGCGCACCCACACCGCGCCAGGCGCCGGCGGGCTTGGCGCCGACTTCTGCTACGTCGAGGTGATGGCCGGTGGTGAGGGCGAAGGCGGTAGCGCTGCCCACGCGAGCGCGTGGGAGTCGGAGTGCCGGCCGGTGAGCACGGTCAACACGTGCACCCTGCTCTTCTCGTGGCACGGGCTGGAGGTGTTCGACGGGGCCGAGGAGGTGTGGCACGGCGAGACCAACACCGACGGGACCAACTTCCTCCAGACGCTCGAGATCGTCGACGACGGCGACATGCGCGTCCGCGACAAGGACGGCGAACTCGCGTGGCGCGCCAGCGACGAGCCCCGCCACGCGCAGCACTGCGGCGCGCCGGGGTCCCCGGGCCTCGCGGCCGCGCTGCCGCCCTTCGCCGAGCCCATTGGCGCGCACAGCAGCAACCTGCCCTTCGGCCAGGTGGAGGGCGGCAACGGCCACGCGGCCGAGCTACCGCAGGCGGCGGAGCTCGGGGACGGGGTTGCTCCAGGGGCCGGAGCCTTTGCCGGCGTAGGAGGAGTTGCCCCGGGAGCAGGCGGCTTGGGCGACGGGTACGGCTACGGCATTGCACCAACGGCGGGAGGCGGCGGAGGTGTTGCCGCGGGGACAGGAGGAGGACCCTTGGGTGACGGCTACGGGATTGCACCGGGCGCCGGGACAGGAGCCTTCGATGGTACCGGGGACATGGGCGGACAGGGTGCAGCCGCGACGGCGGCGGGGGCTGCGGGCGGTGTGGCCGGAGCGGCAGCGTTCGGCAGCCAGCCGCTGGTGGACAACAGCCCCTACGACAGCGGAGCCTACAAGGGCAGCCGTGGGGCCCGTCTCGCGGCGATTGGAACCGTGGTTTTCGTCGGTGCCATTGCCGTGGGTTTCTGATCAGGAAGACGAATCAATGGCGAAAGCGCGGGCAACATCTATAGTGCAATGCAATCGCGTTTCTTAAGGAGTTGTGAAGTTGTGATATAATGAATCTACTGTACTTGTTAATCATGTAATTTGTGTACTACAATTGTATCAAAGTCAATACAATTTGATAAATTAAATTGTATCATTTGACATTTTGTTCTCTAGTCTATTGCAGCCTTTATTAAGAGCAATACTCGTCTATAGATGACCCCCTCCCCTCTCCCCTCCTGTGTCACCCCCATAGGCCGTGGAGGGAACCCTAGCCGCCGCTGGGAACCCCCCCCCCCCCTCCCCTGCCGTCGCTAGAGGGTGTGACCCCGTTGACAATCGATGATAGATCACCAGAATATGTGTAGCCTGTTGCAACGCACGTGGCAGTTAACTAGTATTCATTCCAGAAAACTTGTACCTATAGGTATTTCTTCAAATATATATAGTATCAAATTCTTTTGACTATTGCTAGCACATAGAAAACATCTTCTTCTGCAGGGACAACCACATAATTCAAACATTTGAATACAGATTCTAGATCCTCCCCACAAACTCAAAATAAGCAACTCCTACCCTTATCACTAATTCAAATGACCTAATTTTGAGTACATTGTCATAATATGTAGAACACATTAGAAGCACATATTATATAGTTTTGAAGAAGAAAAAGTCACTATACCACCATCCATACTATAAAGGAGTTCCTTATGATAATTCCAAACCTACAAGTGTCTTGCAACATTTTAAAATTTTAGATGGAAAAGCTCAGCTCATTAGTCCTCTTTGGCACATTGATGCGGAGCATCCCACGGTCATCCCCATGGACACTACTTCGACTACCCAAGCTCCAAGTGGACCCATGGCAAGAGCTCGAGCACGTGCTATTCAATCGGAGGTGACATCTCTCCTACTTGAGCTTTCCTTACATTCAAGTGAGACATGGCTGCCACACTAGTGCAGAACCGGGCTTTAGCGCCGGTTCGTAAGGGCCTTTAGTGCCGGTTCCAAAACCGCTAAAGAGTGGAGACTAAAGCTCCCCCCCTTTACTACCGGTTCGGCACGAACCGGCGCTAAAGTGCCACCACGTTGCACGAGCCAGGCCCGGGTGCTGGTAGACCATTAGTACCGGTTGGTAACACCAACCGGTACTAAATGTTTGGGGGTGGGGTGGGGGGGTTGGTTTTATTTCTTATTTTCTATTAATTTTGTGTTTTCCATTTATTTTTTTTGTTTGCTGGTATTTTACGATACTACATATTGTACACGTTATGCATATATATAAATAGATTTTCTCGTAGAATCGCATATATATATATATATATATATATATATATATATATATACACACACATACATACATACATACAATTTCTCATACATGTTGCCTTGGTGCCTTCGGAGCACGATGACAAGTGGTTCATGGGGCGCTAGCGGGTAATAGTATTCTCCTTTGGAATCTATGACCTGGTCGAGCAAAAATCCCGCTATTTCCTCTTGAAGTGCTAGTATGCGGTCCGTTGGTAGGAGCTGCTCCCACACCTCTCTGAACTGTTAAGAAGGAGATCAATATGCATGTGTATTAGTTGTGTGACTAGATATCGATAATGGTGTGAATAGTGTTCTGACAAACGTACCCAGTCCCGTCTTTGAGATCTGCTCCTTTCGGACGCCATCATGCGAATGTTCTCGCAAACATAGTATGCACACAGATCATTTCCCCGCACCTGCTTTAGGGCCTTTACGAGAATGGAATTGAATCAGATAAAGATGAATCAAGCATGATAGTTAATTAATGGTATTGAAACAAGAATTAAAGAGATGGTAGCTAGCTAGGTAGCTAGTACTACTTGATTACTTACCTTTGGTCGATACCAAAACAACTTTTTTGCCCATTTGCCTGGAATCACCTTGATGAACTTTGCCCAAGCCTGCCCACCGGCAAAGAAAATAAATAAAGGGGTTATTAAATAGTTCATATCAGGATATGACGAACTAAATAGGCCGAGATATAGTTAATAATGATTGAAATTACCTGTTGACTATCCCCTTGACGATGGTGTAGTCACTTTCTTCTTTAAGTAGTGAGTCTAGTACTTCAACTTTTCCTTCCTCAACTTTAATGTCTAACAAGATCCAGTGGAAATTGCATGCACACACGTTTGCATGTCTTAATTAAGCGGGCATGTGCATAACACTAATCAACTACCGTAAACCCTATACACTTAATTATTAACATATAGCTAGCTAGTAAGCAAAAACAGAATTTGTAGTACAAGACAGTGTGACTCACAGGAAGTTGTAAGGAAGTAGTATATCTTGATTGGTATTGAGGCGCTTGAAGAACTCTAGCATGCTTTCCTCTAAACTTGCTCGATAAGTTGGAAGATTCCATGTGTACTCATTAATGGTATTTGGGTCAATGAACCCAATGCCATAGCGTCCAGATTTTTTCATTTCATACATCTTCATCCTGCATATAATACCACAGAAAAGAATATAGTGAGGATAATTACATGTAATGATTGATCAAAATGATCACTACAGCTAGCTTGAGACTTCAATTATAGAAAGAAATCACTTACAGACAATAGCAACTGACGATAGATTTGTCGAGTGCGTCTTGATTGTATAAGTGAAATAGTTCTGAATACTCAACGGACAGAGCTTTCTCATGGAGGTAATGCTCCTCCTTGACATTCACCATGAGGGACACTCGATTGGAAATCTTGGTAATGTTCATGTATCTTGGGAGATCGTGTAAAATGTATTCCCATTTATCTCGTACCCTTTGAAAGTCATTATATTCGAAGATAGTAACTGGGACAGCGAGTACATGTCATCTTCAATATCGCCATCATGCATGGCACGTTTGTCGGGGGGATGAACCCCGGGCAGGCAACGGAACCCGGATCCTCTTCAAAAATAGCGGGGCCCGCACCGCCCCGGAAACCAGCACGCGCCTAGCCGGGTCGCTCGACCCGGCAGGGCCCGCAACTCGGCCAAACCCCTCGACTCGGCAAGGTACGTCGACCCGACCGCAGTAGCTGGCACAAGACAACTCAACTCGGCCAAGCCCCTCGACTCGACAAGATACGTCGACCCGGCGCCGCCGTGGCTTCCCCAGCAAGCCAACCCACCCGTGGCATCCACGGCAACCCAGCCACGGGTCAGCTCCCATTCCATGCAGGCCGTACGATGGGACGAGACCTCAACCACCGATGACCAAGACAACAGTGTTCCCGTCCATGCCTATGGTCAGCCGGGGCGTGGCAACAGTGCCCCTTGCCTACCCGCTGACCAGGGCTGGCGTGGCAACAATGATCCCGCCCTCGCCGCTGACGGCAGCAAGCAGCAGCCTGACGGAGAGCACTGTACACGACTCGACTCGGGCACACCCTGATGATCGACAAGACGGCGCACAGTCCCCCTGGCACGCGGGGCCCGCACCTAGGGGAACCCGGTGAACCACAAGCCCACAAGTGGGACCTAGCCCGGTACCCCGGACACCGACAATACGGGCCCACCACCTTGGCATATTACCATTGTAACCCTGCGTGGGTTGAGCTACAAAACCCCCCAGGAGCCCACAGGGGCAAGACGAGAGGCGAAGCAATACAAGGCACCTATAAGAGAAACACAGGCAAGCATAGGACTACCCACCCAACAGCGACACCGGGGAGAAGGAACAGCCCGAGCCTCGGCCAACTTCCTTCCTCCTCCGTACAGCTCCAGGAGCAACATTGTACTATCGATCATCCAACTAAACTCGGCAGGACTAGGGGTGTTATCTCTCCGGAGAGCCCCGAACCTGGGTATGTCCGGCGTCCCGCGCCCGCGCATATCAACCTCGCCTATGGAGCCCACCAGCGCCCTCGTCCCTTGGCATCTGTCGTGCGCCCACCACGACAACGTTTCTCCCACCAACCGGCGAAAGTCCTCATTTGTTCACGTGTAATCCGGTCGTCAGACTGCTCCGGGTATTTGGAGTGTAGAAAATTCTTGTGTTCCTCCATATACGGAGCCACCAAGGCGGAATTCTGTAGAACTGTGTAGTGTGTTTCAGTGAGAGAATGCATGTCCATACATATTATTTGATCCACTCCTACGGTCTTTTCGTCTTTCTTACGGTCTTCTCCGTGCCATCGCATCGCCTTCGCATGCTCTTTGTTTTGGAACAAACGTTTCAACCGTGGTATTATAGGAGCATACCACATCACCTTGGCAGGAATCTTCTTCTTGGGGCGCTCGCCCTCGACATCACCAGGGTCATTGCGAGTGATCTTATAACGCAATGCACCGCATACCGGGCAAGCGTTCAAATCCTCGTACTCACCGCGGTAGAGGATGCAGTCATTAGGGCATGTATGTGTCTTCTGCACCTCTAACCCTAGAGGGCAGACAACCTTCTTTGCTTCATACGTACTCTCGGGCAATTCGTTGTCCTTTGGAAGCATATTCTTTATCATTACCAGCAACTTTCCAAATCCCTGATACACCATTCTCTGCCTTCCATTGCAGCAATTCCAGTGTGGTGCCCAACTTTTTTTTGTCAGCTTCACAATTCGGGTACAACAATTTCTTGTGATCCTCTAACATGCGCTGCAACTTCTTCTCCAAATCACTTGCGCAGTTTCTCTTTGCATCGGCAATGGCCTGACCTAGATCATCAACAGGCTCATCTGATGCCTCTTCTTCAGCTTCTTCCTGCATTGCCAGCTCAGCTTCTTCCCCGTTGTTGTATCATCATATTCAGGGAACCTGTCGGTGTCAAAACCGAAGGATCTCGGGTAGGGGGTCCCGAACTGTGCGTCTAGGCGGATGGTAATAGGAGACAAGGGACGTGATGTTTTTACCCAGGTTCGGGCCCTCTCGATGGAGTTAAAACCCTACTCCTGCTTGATTAATATTGATGATATGGGTAGTACAAGAGTTGATCTACCACGAGATCAGAGAGGCTAAACCCTAGAAGCTAGCCTATG